TGCCTCAGCCTCCCTAGTAGCAGCAATCACCCAACTCACATAGGCATTTTCCTCTTTCATCCTGTCCAACTTGCTCTCACTTTCTACTTCCCCAGCTACTATCTGAAAAAAAAGACTAATTTTACTAACTGGTTGGGTGATCGTCTCCAATTATAACCTGCTTCTGTCACAGAAGGAAGAAGATATGGAAGAATTCAATACTATTGAGTTATCATCTCCTCTAATTACAAAATACACGATCATTACAGTTAAATGAAATAATCCAAAAATGTAGCATGAAAAAGCAAATCCTGTATTCCTTACCCATTTTCATCCTTCTGAGTTAGCCAATATTCAAATTTTCTATCCTATTATTTTAAAAGAATGTTTTCAAGCTGGGTGGTATAGTGTTATTAAGCCTGTAATAACAGTGACTGGGCATAGACTCCCTAGGATGATCAAAAGTTCGAGGCCAACCTCAAGAACTTAGTGAGACCATGACTAAAGGGGGATGAAGCTTTGTGGTAAAAGAGCCCCCTGGGCTCAATAACCAGTGCCCCCACCCCCCATAAAATTTTTCAAAGTGACAATACAGCACATTTACATTGATGTTTAGATGGTAGACCTATTGGCACCTGGGAAAGAAACACCCATATCCTTCTGGTGGGTGTGTAAAGGGAAGGATTCTAAAAAGCAATTTGGTAGAAAAAAGAAACCCTTGCAAGCAACCTAAGGGGACAGTTAAGTTTTGATTTTCTGAGATATTAATAAGGAGGCTGTGAATCATTAAATAGTGATAGATATTTTTAAAAAATGATGCAGTGAATAACTTTTAAGAGGCCACAAGACAGTATATACATTGATAATATGATCTAAGTTAAAAAAAAATTGAACATTCTGGTAGACTACACCAAAATGAATACAGATGGTAGGACAGGTATGTATAATTTTTTTCTTTTTGCTTATCTATATCTACTATCTTTGGGCTTATTTGTATCTAATTTTTCTTCAACAAAGACGTATTGGTTACATAAGGAAAAATCTAATTAGTTGCTATGCAACCAACTAGAATACCTGATGGAGCTCAAAACAGCATCATAGTAGACAACAATAGGGGCCAAAAAAGGAAGATGCAAGCTAAGCGAAATCTACCCCACCCCCCACCCCCGCAAACTCAAATAGTACTAAATAGAGAGAATACTTGCCAGAAGCCTATGGCATGTCACAGTCCAGCACACAGCACACCATTTGTTTCACATGGGCACAGACTTTTTAACCTCAGGAAGGAACTACTTGGTTTTCTAACTTTGAAAAAAATTTTAATAGCAAATATGAAGACTAGCTGACCCTAGGGATTCAGGGTTGATAGGTGCTCATAACAAATGAGTAACATGTTCACATAATAAAAGGACAGAGAACCCCTTTTATAGAACAGGTATTCCTTAGTGTGGAACACAGCTAAATGAGGGTCACATCTTGCTATTCCATGTCAGTATCTTCTCACCTTACTACCAATTTTTGTGGTATATATGTATTTTCTAGCACTATGATTTATCTGTTGTTTTAAAAATACACAACAGAAGTGTATTTTGACGTGTTATACATATATGGAGTATAATTTCCCATTCTTCTGTTGGACATGATGGGGAGTTACACTGGTTGTATATTCATACATGAACATAGCAAAGTTATGTCTGAACAATTTACTCTTAATGAAGTGATGTTTTATAGAAAACATTACCTAGAGGATGGGCCCGAGATTTAGTCCTCAGCACCAAAAAATAAAATATTTCCTATTCTTGCCTATATTTTTTAAAAGGTAACAGTTCTTTATGAAGATTATTTAAAATGTCATCTTGGGCCATCTCTCCCCCACTATGAGAACATACTGACATAAGAGCTGTTTGGGACTTAGAAAAAATTTAATTACATTATTCTTTATGAGCTCCCCTAATAGAAATAGGGACATAGTAATGCATAACCTGAACTTATTATCTTATGCATTCTTGGTAAATAAACAAAAACCATAGGAAAGTGTTACCTGGGTCTTCTTCAGGTCCCAAAATTAAAACAAAAATGCCATATACACAAAGTCCTCCAGGCCTTAACATGAGAGTTTTATAATCAACCCTCCACTTACCCTCCTCAAACATTTAGATCTCACTTGACTTTGAAATCATTAAAAGTAACCACGGAACACAGTGTCCTATATTTCAGAGCATCTTATCCATACTTCCATCAGGGCGTGGGATCTTACATTTCTCCAAATGACCAGAATCTGCAGGGACCCAGAAGCCAAGCCCAACTTCCTAACAGCTGACAATACCAATTGTATTCTAGTACATCACAAGTGAGGTGACTATTTGATTTTAAAGGGGTCATCTTGGAACTTTTCATTTGTCTAAAGGATAATGCCTTTGTGAAAACTCTTATGTGCCTTAAAATTTTCCTTTATGCCTGTAATCCCATTCTCTCATAAGGTTGAGGCAAAAGGATTCCAAGTTCTAGGACTGCCTAGCAATTTATCAATTTAACCCCATCTCAAAACAAAAAGAGATGGAGACATTAAGTCAGTGGTAGAGAACCACTGGATTCAATCCCCAGTACCAAGCGCCCACCAAATCCTTCAAAATCTATAGATTTTCTGTTAAAAAGTCTTTAGCTGTCCTAACTGCCACTGGTTTCAGTCTTCCTGTAAAGAGTTCCTAGGAGGGCTGGAGTTGTGGCTCAATGGTGGAGCACTTGCTTGGCACGTGTAAGGCACTGGGTTCAATTCTCAACACTGCATATATAAATACATAAAAATAAAGGTCCATCAAAACTTAAAAAAAAAAAAATAGTTCCTAGGGAATTCCTCTCTACCTTCAAATTTCGCCTGCCTCTGAAGAAGCTCTTCTACAAAATCCCTCTAAGAACCTGCCAAAGTGCAACTGCAACTAGTGTGTCCCACATGGTCTAATGCTTCCAGAGGGCAGGGGATTCCCTGTCTTGTTCACACTGGTTTCCCCAGGTTCTAGTATACTGTGGGTAGTCACATACTTAACAAACCAGTGGGCTCTGGAAGCCAATGGTGTCCTATGCAGTATCCCCTAGCCACTTGTTGCTTTGGGGCAATCCAAGTGTATAGTATGACCCACAAACTGACCTTTTAATTTCCAACAAATAGTCACAGGGCTCTGGCCTATTTTGGGCAAGATCTAAGGCTTAAATGGAAAAAAAAAAATCAGCACCTACACATATATACACCTTGGCTATTAAAACACCACATAGTGGGAACAGGCCACTTCTAGTTCCCAAAGGGAATACAAGTAGGTAAGGGCCTCTAGATTTAAGAATTTAAATTCCAGATTTTTAAGCAATCTGAAGACCCATGCATGCATTTTCCTTTCAGGAACTCCGGCTAAATTTCCTTATTCCGTATTGGATTAATTTGCATGGAAGAGTCTGGAATTAAGTCCTCAGGGAGGGCGCCCACCTCTCCTCGTTGTGCCAGAGAACGTGCAACCATTCACTACTCTAGCACGTGGCAGTCACAAAATGTCTGCTGCTGGACGGAAGGACCGCGTGCCGGTGGAACCCGACTCCCGCGACCCCGGGGGCGCGCTGCCACCGTGCGGGGGAGCCGGGCTCGCACCCAAGCGGCGGTGACCTCATAGCCCCAAGGCAGGCTACTAAGCCTCGAGCACGCCGGCGGGCCATCCCCACCAGTGGGCCACTTGTTAACCACAGCCACCTGCGTGCGCGAGACGCGGCCCGCCAGGCCGGGGCGGGCACAGGCTCAAGGGCTCCCCTAGGCTAGAGAACGCCACTCACCCGCCGAGGGGTCGGCGGCGCCAACTCGGCGGAGAGGATCGAGGAATCCGAGGCCGCCCCGCACACGGAGCCGCCGTACCGCACGAGCGTGGCGCGGGCTCCGCGGCCGAATGGCGCGGGGCCGGCCGCATAGGCCGCACCGAGCACGTGCGGGGTGAAGGCCGCCGATCGCCGGGCGGGTGGCGGCAGCCGCCGCCGTTGCCCTTTTAAGAAGGGGGAGGGGATCGGCAGCGCGCCCGCGAGGGGATGAGTCGGCGGCCGCCGAGCGCGCGGCTCCCGCCAGTGGGAACCGAGCCGCAGCGGGGCGGGGGGCGGCCCGAGGACTCAGCCCGGGGGCCCGCGGCCAGCGCCAAGGGCGGGCGGACGGGCAGGGCCGGCTCACCGGCGGAGGAAGACGGCGCCCGCCAACATGGCGCTGTGGCGCGCCCGGGCTGGCGCGAGGAGCCGCCGCCCGCCCACACCGAGGGACCAGCCTCCCGGGGCAGGGGCCGCGGGCTTCGACCCCGTGGCGCGGGGGGAGGGCGGAGCTGCCGCCACCACGGTGGTCAGCGCAGCCCGAGGAGACCGGCCTAGAGGAGGCCGTGGGTGTACCGAGAGTGAAGCAAACGGGGAAGAAAGTTTTATTTTTAGGCTTGAAAAATGGCGGGAACCGCGTCCTTTTTTCAAACTTGGCCTCAGGAGGGGCGGCGGTTGCGCCACCTCCGCCTGCCCCTCCCCCGCTCCGAGCGCCAGGCCGCGCCCGCCCAGGCCCCGGGAGCCCGAGGGGGCTCCGCGCCTTCAAAGGAACTGAGCCCCCTTCGCGCCTGCGGCCCTGCCTCTGCCCGGCGGGAGCAACCCGCGAGGCCTGGCCCGCGGACCCGTCCGCGCCGCTCCCCACCAGCCGGGTCGCGCCGGAGCCCGGCCTGGCCGGCGGCGGCCCCAGCCGGGACTGGCTGCGAGGCTCTTCGGCAGGCCCGGCCTCCGCCCGGCCGCGCATCCCGAGAGGCTGCAAACATGGCTCCCAGCGTTACACAACCCCCGCTCCCTCCCTCGCCGCCGGCCACACGCACACACGCTCCCTCCGGGAGGGAACCCGGGCAGGCGAGCGAGCGAGCGAGCAGCTCGAAGTTTGCTTTTCCCCACCCGCTGCCTTCCCCGGCGGGCGCCAAAGAGTTAATGCCCGCGCGCTCGCTCCCCCCTCCGCGCCCGCCCGCCTTCCCCGTCCGAGCCCGCGAGCTGCGCCCTTCCCCGCGCCGCGGCCGGCGAACCCGCGGCCCGCGCCCCGCAGGTGGCCACCATTACGTGCAAGTCATTGGGGGCGCGGGCACCCGAAGTGGTTCTGCTTACAGCTGCTGGGGTCCTGTTCCTCAGCTCCAGGTGGATCCTCCTCTTCATGTCCATGTTTCCCTCGTCCCCCCTCTTCAAACTTAACTTTCCGCGGCGGGGCGGAGGGGGGAGAGGCGTCCCGGCCTGCGCGGCAAGGGCCGTCGGAGGGGGTCTGCTCGCGGCAGCGGCCAGCAGCGCGGTCCCGTGCGGCGGGCGAGCGGGCGGGCGAGCGGAGCCCCCGGAGCCAAGTTACTCGCGGGAGCGGAGAGAAACCATGGAGGGAAAAGGGGGCTGGAGCGCAGCGTTGGCCTCACTACCGCCGCCCCCGGCCGCGGCCCCGCACTGCGCTTAAACCGGCGACGCGGCGCGGCGGATGCTCGGCTCCACTCGGCCCCGCGCGGCGCCGCTCGGCTCGTCCGCCGCGGCTGCACCAAGCACTGGCGGGGAGGCGCGCGGCGGGAGGGCGGGGCCGGGCGGAGGCCGAGACAGGCGCAGCCGGGGAGCCGAGCGGCTTCCTCCCTCCTCGCCCTCTCCCTGCGGCCGCACGTGGGCGGGCTGATGTAAGACCTTCCCCGCCCGCGGCAGAGCTGAGACCCCTGGCCCCTTCGCCCCCTAACGGGAGGACGCCTCCGGCCTGCGCAGGGACGTGTGCGGGAGAGGGCTGAGGGAGATGCTGTGCGGTTTGGGGAGACCGTGAGGAAAAGTCCGTCTGTAGAAGCCCCCGACGCCCGCGGGGCGCGAGCTGGGAAGACAGCCCCGGGCAGGGACTTTGGGGTTCCCCCTGCCTGCGCCGTCTGGGGAGAACTGCCTGAACCCCGCGTCCCCTTGGTGGAGTGGTGTTGGGAGTGCCATCGAGGACCCGCGTCGGAACGCAGTCGCGGCGCGTGGCACCGGGCGGAGTCGGCTTTCGGGGGACCGTGCCAGTCCGCGGGGACCGGGACACCCTGGGCCGCTTGCCGGAGCCACGGGACAACCGAGCGTCCCCAGGTTCAGGAGACTCTGCCTCGGTTGTTTTAAATATTTTAATATGAGCTAGTGAAGGAACAGTTAGCGTTTCTAATGGGGCCAGTTTTTCCACAGACTTTCATTCCTCAGGGCACCCCGTAGGGTGCGGGAATTCTTGATGGTCTCCATTTGGGTGACGCCTGGCAAGCAGCCTGTGATAGGGTCAGAATCAGAGGGTCCCTCGAGTTAGAACACTAGATCAGGGTGAGAGTTTGCCGATCACTGGGGAATAAGGTTAAGTTCAGCTTAAAATAAGTAAATACAGTGTGTCCAAACAGATACCTTATTTCTAGTGTAGAGGAGAGGCACCAAAGACTAAGAAAGAATTTATTGGAGAAAAACTTAAAGTTAGGAAAGTTTCCTCCTTTCCCTTTTTGCCCTAATAGCAACCAAACAGCCCAAACTTAGTTTTAAATCAATTATATCAGTTTTTTAAATGCTGAATGAATTTACATTCAAAAGAAAAATTTATGGAAGGATTATGGAAAAAGGCCAATACTTTCCAGTCTTTTGCTTGCTGGCTCCTGTTGCATACTTATGAGAAGGGAACTTGGAGAAGGGTGTGCTCTTTATGGTGTTTCAAGGGGTCTATAACTATAGGTTATGGGAACCACAGGGCTATACAATGAAACTTCCCCCCCCCCCCCAAAAAAAAAAAAAAACCACCTGTCCAACTTCTTTTAGGGCTTGGTATATTCTTTTTCATTTAACTCCCAGACAGCTCTGTGAAATAGGTGTTATTTTAATCATTGTACAGATGAATTGAGATTCTGGCAAGTGAGAGTGCCAACAAAAGGTAGAGCTAGGGTTCAGACCCACATGGGTCTGGCTCCAAAGGCTACCATCCTTCCACACTACCAGAAGTCCATCTAGATTGGAGTCTTAGCATGGGATAGGGGGAATGGATACAAAGAGCCTTCAATACCAAACTGCATGCAGGTGTCCTCTCACAGGGAAGGGCGAGGTGCTGAAGGAGCCTTGAACTGTGGTAGGTCCTGTGCTACAGAAACGTGGGGGTGGGGAGATGGTATGGGTCTTAGGAAGGATCAGAGCAAGTCTTGAGACCATGTCCTCTCTTTTATGACCAACTCTAGGGCACGAAGGACTCTTTCCCCCATGGTACATTGCTTACAGGATAAATGTGTATTTTATGAGATTAAGCTACAATGTAATTCATAAACATAGCCACAATGTGCAGCAAATAAAAAGAAAGTGAAAGAGCCAAAGGGGAGACTACAGACAGGGCACTGTGCCTTCTCACACAGCCGGTGCTGGCATGCACCTCTGTGAACAAAGAGCATGTGTTCCAGTGACATGCCTCTTTGTCAGGGGCTTCACTGCCAGAGGCATAAATAACACAGGCAGAACAGGGTGTGTCTCACTGCCCTGCCAACATCTATGGGACTGTCAGTCCACAGGCCTGAAGGGGCTGTTATCACAGGGCCCTGGTTTTAAATATTGCTGTACTTAACATCATTCTGTATATAAGAAAGATAAATATATCTATGTTTGTACATATATATGTATATATATATATATGCACAATTGTATACATATATGAATACATATACATATATCTATATATGTATATAGTTGTATCTAATCTTCAATTACTGATCTTGTCCATGGATTTATTTACTTGAACAAGGGCTGGGAGGGAAGAAGGAAAAGTTCACAGCTTAGTTTGTTAAGGAGACAGAACTTTGGATTTCTTTTTTACTTCCATAGGTGTTAATGATTGTCTGATAAGTAATAAAAACATGAAGTAATGCCAAGCTTTAGCACCCCTTTGAATCTTTTTTTTTAACCCTTTGAATCTTAAAACTTCCCAATAATCTGAATGTGTATCCCAATAAATTTTAAATGTCTGAGAACATTTTGAGCTGGTTTGTAACTCCTTGGACCTGCTCCCCACCTCAAATAATCAGATGACCAGAGCCTTTCACAAACTTTGTGGTTAAAGATGAGAGGCAACAGCCCCCGCCCCATTCAGGCATTGATTCAGGCATTGGTTTAGCTGGCTTTGAAACCAGTTCAACAGAAAGGTTACATTTTCTCTTTAGTAAAGACAACATATGAAACTGAGGTAAGGAAATCATTACTCTTTAAATAGTTAATACCTCCATTCTTCTCTCCTATACAATGTGCATCCATTGGTAAGAATGAATGTCCCCAACTTTCTGGAACACAGTGTGTGTGTGTCTCTGTTATAGCAGTTGAGCAACAAGTGGTAGTCCTTGGAAGATCTAACTTCTCAGCTAGATTGAACTCATACAAATAGTTCTGGGTGATAAGAATAGTGAGGAAGGCCAGCACAGTGGCCTACACCTGTAATCATAGCCATTCAGGAGGCTGAGGCAGGAGGATTACAAGTTTGAGGCCACCCTCAGCAACTTTGAGAGACCATTTCTCAAAATAAAAAAAAGGGCAGTAGCTCAGAGGTAGAGCATCCTGGGTTCAGTTGCCAGTACTGGGAGAGTTTGGGTCATCTTTAGAATATAGTAGATGCTTTGCAAATCTGTGTATAAGGTCCTGGGTTCAGGACCTTAGGTTGAAAATAATGTCATATGTATGTTATCATACAGGCAGTTTAGATTGTTGAGAAAGGGATAGGGAGAGGCAAATAGGTGAAAATGAAGTTCTATTAGTCTCTACAAGTGAAAACAAAAGATGGAGGGGTCAGGTATACAGGCAACTCTGTCCATTAAAGGGTCCCTAGCAAGGGAACCAGGTTCCTTGTTGTTCCATGAAACCAGCTATGGTGCCAGGCTTTCCTGGGGCAGCAAGGCAGAGCTATGACTACCAAGAATTAGGTTTAATATTTATTACGAATAGTCCTTGGGTGCCAGGCTTGGTGTCATGCCTATAATCCCAGCAGCTTGGGGGGCTTAGGCAGGAGGATCACGGAGTTCAAAGCCAGCCTCAGCAATTTAGTGAGGCACTTAGCAACTCAGCGAGACCTTGTCTCTAAATAAAATGTAAAAAAAAAAAGGGCTGGGGATGTGGCTTGGTGGTTAAGCATCCCTGGGTTCAATCCTCAGTACTACTACAACTTCAACAACAAAAACACAGTCCTTGAGCCAAGTACTGTGCTTGAAAATTTGGTGTACATTGCCTCTCAATTAATCCTGGAAACAGCTTCCTGGGATAGGACTTTTTTAGTGTTTAGGAAACCAAGAAGATTTTGCTGAAACTCACATAGCTACTAAGGGTTCACTGTAATTTATTCTCATAACTTTGATCCCCTGCTCCTCACAACTGATTCTGAAAAAAGTTCTACTCTAAGAAGATTTACATGTTCATTATGTGCAAATGATGAAAGGAGCAATAAAAAGCAGACAATAAAATATAAAAATTAAATTTCCACCATTGAGATGTTACCATATTTCTGTGTGTTACTGACCCAGGGACACTTTACCACTGAGCTACATCTCTACCCTTTTGAGACAGGTCTAAGTCATTGAGGCTGGAATTGAACTTGAGATCCTCCTGCCTTCACCTCCTGAGTTGCTGGGATTACAGGAAAAGGCCACTGCACCTGACTATAACCACTGTTGAGGTATAAATATTCTTGCAGCTTTGTACCCCCATACTATGTGAATTTTTTTAATGCTGGGGATCATTGAAGAGATCAAAGTATTTCTGGAAATATTTTTCTGCCTACCATTATGATAAATCTGTATGACTGTAACCATAATGGTTTCCTGGTTTTGGAGGACTCCAGTGAGACAAGAATCCCATTCCATTGTGCACTAGCTGTGTACTTTTGGACAAACCCCATAACCTTTCTGAGTCCCAGGCTGCTCATCTCAGGACTGCCATGAGGTTCAGCCATGATTGTGTGGATGAAGCCTCTCCTTGACCCAGTGCCTGGTACTCTCTGTACTCCAGCCACACTTTACAGGCCTGAGTTCCTCTCCTACCCTGAGCAGTCCCAGAGCTCCCTGGGGACTTTGCCCAGTTACCCTGCCCCTTTGGCTGAGGGAAAAAAGGCTCAACTCAAACTAATGAAAGTTATTTTTTTTTATAAATTAATTTTATTTTATCTTTTACACAAATGGAACACAACTTTTCATTTCTCTGGTTGTACATGGTGAAGAGTCACACCATGTGTGCAATCATACCCATATATAAAGGAAATAATGTCCATTCTACCATCTCCCCCCCCCATACACCCTCCTCTCCTCTCCCTCCCCTCCCTCCCCTTTGCTGAATCCAAAATTCCTTCATTCTTCCCTTGTCCCCCTCCACCAACAATGTAAGTTTTTGACTCTTAAAAGGATCAGCCTCATTTTCGGTTTCACAGAGGCCTTGTGTGCTCTCCCCTGCCCTGCCCCCAGTACTAGGGATTGAACCCAGGACCTTATACACTGAGCTATACCCCTCAGCCCTATTTATTTATTTGTTTATTTGTTTATTTTTTGGTGCTGGGATTTGAAACCAGGAACTCTTAACCCTGAGTTATATCTGAGAGTTTTTTTTTTTTTTCTTTTAAACAGGCTTCTGCTAAATTGCCCAGGTGAGCCTCCAACTTGTGATCTTCCTGTCTCAGCCATGAGTCATTGGGATTACAGGCTTGTGCAACCCTGCCCAGCTCCTTGGTCTCTCTTGAGGAACTTGGAACATACTCCATCCCCTCCTCCATCCTTAGCCAGCATCCCCACCATCTGGACCCTCTCATACCCCACAGGGATTTCCTTGTCCCCTTGGAACTGAGGCTGATCTGAGTCCAGCTTCTGCTGACTAAAGTTGCCATCTGCTCTCCAGCATGCCTGCCTTACCCAGCCCAGCCAGGAGCCCCTTGGCTGGCATGCTCCTCCCTCATTCTGGACCCAGGTGCCACAGAGGTGGTTTACACGGTTCTTAATTTGGTAGTCTCTTGTTTGGTAAAGGTCAAATTCCTGGATACCCTCACATTTCTAACTCTCTGAATATCAGAGCATCCAGGATCCTAGTTTCTTTTTGTACTTATGTGTGCATGTACTATAGCAAAATTGGAAACTATAGTTAAACAAAAGGAAGAAAATAAAAATTTCTGTCCCAGGCTAAGCACTGCTCACATTTTCATTGTCTTATTAATAACAGCTTTCAGAAAGTGTGGGGGGGGACCCACTACAGTAAGTGGTCATATCAGTTATAAGAGACATTCTTGTTTCAGAAGTAATAAGTGAAAAAAGGTGACAGTACATAAGAAATGCTGTATATATGACATTTTTTTCATTTATTTATTTATTGGTACCAGGGATTGAACCCAGGAGTGCTTAACCACTGAACCACATCCCCAGCTCTTTTTATTTTTTATTTTTATTTTTGAGACAGGGTCTCACTAAGTTGCTTAGGGACTCCATAAGTTGCTGAGGCTGGCTTTGAAATCATGATCCTCCTGCCTCAGTCTCCTGAGTTGCCAGGATTACAGGTGTGTACCACAACACCCAGCTTGAAAAAAAAAAATTATCAGTTAATTTTCAACAAGGGTATAAAGATAATTTAATATCAGAAAGAACAGTCATTTCAAAAAACAAATGGTGTTGGGACAGTTGAATATTCACATCCAAAAGAATGAAATTGGCTTCTGTATCTCATACCATTTACAAAGTTTTACTTGGAAAGCACCCAGTATGGTGGCATATTCCTGCAATCTCAGTGACTCAGAAAGCTGAGGCAGGAGGATCATAAGTTCAAGGCTAGCCTCAGCAATTTAATGAGGCTCTAAGAAATTTAGGGAGACCTTGTCTCAGAATAAAAAGTAAAAAGGGCTGGGAATGTGGCTCAGTGGTAAAGCACCTCTGGGCTCAATCCCCAGTACAAAAAAAAAAAAATTACTTAGAATGGATTATAGAGTAAAAAACAGTAAGACTAGGAAGAAAACACAGGAATAAATCTTTGTGACCTTGGATTAGGCAAAACCTTCTTAGATAACAAAAGCACCACAAACTAGAGGAAAATACATAAATTAAACTTCATCAAAATTAAACCTTTTGTGTTTCAAATGACAACCTCAAGCCAGGCATGGCGCCAGTAACTCAGAAGGCTGAGGCAGGAGGATCGAGCCTCAGCAATTTAGTGAAGCCCTGGACAACTTAGGGAGACCCTGTCTCAAAATCAAAATAAAAAAATAAAAATTGGCTGGCAATATTGCTCAGTGGTTAAGTGCCCCTAGATTCAATCCCTGGTAACAAACCAAAAAAAAAAAAGAAAGGAAGGAAGGAAAAAAGGAAGAAAGAAAGAAAAGACAACCTCAAGAAAATGAAAAGAAATGCATGGAATGGGGAAATGTATTTACAGCAGGGCGTGGTGGCACATACCTGTAGTTCCAGCAATTTGGGAGGCTGAGGCAGGGGGAATCCTGAGTTCAAGTTTAGACTCAGCAACTTAGCAACTCAGTAGACCCCATATCTAAATAAAATATGTAAATGCTGGGGATATGATTCACAGGTTAAGTGCCCTTGAGTTCAATCCATGGTACTGGGAAAAAAAAGTATTTACAAATCATGTATCTGACAAAGGACTTGTATTCAGAATATATAAAGAACTATTGCAACTCAGCAATAAAGATACTAATAACCAATTTAAAATGATTAAGATCTTGAGTTCAGGAGTTCAAAACCAGCCAGAACAATACAGTGAAACCCTAAGAACCAGAAGGAAGGAAAAAGAAAAGAAAGAGGGAGAGAGGAAATTTGCAAAGGATTTGAATACACATTTCTCCAAAGTAAGATATATGAATAGTTAATACACATGTGAAAATATGCTCAACATCATGAACCCTTAGGGAAATGCAAATCAAACCCACAAAGAGATACCACCTTGCACCTTTGCACATTGCTCTCGAGAATGTGAAATGGTATAGTTGCTTTGGAAAAGTTTGGCAGTTCCTCAAAAAGTTAAGCATAGAATTACCATATGAGCCAGCAATTTCACTCCTAGAATACATACCCAAGAAAATGAAGCTATGTCTACCCAAAATTTGTACATAAATGCTTATAGCAACATTAATTGTAATGATAATAAAATGAAAACAACCCAAATGCCCATCAACTGATAAGCAAATGTGGTATATCCATACAGTGAAATTTTTGGCCACAAAAATAAATGAAGTATTGACACATGCTACAACCTGGAAGAGCCTTGAAAATATTATGCCAAGTGAAACAAATCCGATACAAAAGGCTACATAGTGTGTGATTGCATTTATATGAAATGTTCAAAATAGGCAAATGCATATAGGTAGTAGTAGATTAGTGGTTGCCAGGGGCTAGGGGAATGGGGACTGACTGCTAAGGATTATGGAATTTTCTTTTCAGGATACTGTAAATGCTCTGGAATTTGGTAGTGGTGATGACTGCCCAGCTCTGCTGATATATTAAAAACACTGAATCGTATACTATAAAAGAATGAATTTATGGCATGTAAATTATATCTCAATGAATCTGTAAAAAAATAAAATAAACCTCTACCAGTTAGGTTCTTTTTTCTTTTCTTTCTTTTTCTTGGGGGAGAGGAGGGGGTACTGAGATTGAACCCAGGGGTGCTTAACCACTAAGTCACATCCCCAGCCCTTTTTAATATTTTATTTAGAGACAGGGTCTTGTGACTTGCTTAGAGCCTTGCTAAGTTGCTGAGGCTGGCTTTGAACTAGAAATCCTCCTGCCTCAGCCTCCTGAGCTGCTGGGATTCAGGTGTGCTCTACCATGCCCAGCTCTCATTTCTTTTTATTAATGAATAGTATTTCAGTGTTTGAATAGGCCACAATTTGTTTATTCATTTTATGCACAAGTCTCCCTGCTGACCAGCGTTGTTTCTGAGCTGAAGCAAATCTTGTGTGTGGTCCTTTAAAATGCACTCAGGGAGCTAGCTGTTTTTGAAACATAGTTGAAAATGGAAAGAAATGGCTTTTTGAAGGACTAACATAATTTACACATATGCTATTAATAGAAATTGGATCAAATATATGCTTACTTAGGTTAAAGCTATTTCAGCACCAAGAGGCCAATTAAAAGACTGTAGCAATAACTCACATGTGAGGTAACTAAAATCTGGGACAAGATTTTTGTAGTAAGAAAGGGTGGGACAAATAAGACTTTTTTTTTTTTTTAAACTGATGAAATCCAGGGTTTCATGCATGCTAGGCAGGCACTGTACCATTGAGCCATATCCCCATTCCTAGGTATTTCATGGGAAGACTTGGTCAGGCTTTGTGACAGACTAAATGTATTGGATAGAGATGCAAGATGAATTGAGTTCTACTTCAAGGAAGATACCTGCCTGTTGAGTCCCTCTTCTCTTCATTGCTTGCAGGCTCTGCCCTGTTATGGAATCAAGGAAATAGGGTTCAGGGGCTAGAAGGGCTTCCAGTCCCACTTTTACCTTACTGATTTTTTTGTTTTGTTTTGTTTTTGTACTGGGAATTGAACCTAGGAGGCTTAACCACAGAGCCAGATCTTCAGTCCTTTTTAATGTTTTATTTAGAGACAGGGTCTTTCTAAGTTTCTGAGGCTGGCTTTGAACTCAAGATCCTCCTGCCTCAGCTGCTGGGATTAGAGGCATGCACACAGTGCCTAGCACCTTCATTTTGCTCCTAGTATCTAAGCTCTAACCATACACAGAAAGTCTCTTTAAAGATATGGTGACATTATCAGAAGAATACAGAATTGCAGCCCAGTTATTTTTCTTTTCTTTTTTTTTTTTTCCTTTTGTAGTACTAGGGGTTGAGCCCAGGGCTGCTCTACTTACTGAGCGACATTCCCAGACATTTTTTCATTTTTTATTTTGAGACAGGATCTTGCTAAATTGCTGAGGCTGGCCTTGAATTTGTGACCATCCTGCCTCAGTCTCCCAAATTACTGGGATTATAGGCATACGCTACTGCACCTGGCAGACTTGTCAATTTTTCACCTTTACTCTTGGAGCCTAAGTCTCTTTATCCCCACTCTATCAGATTGTTTTGAAAATCAGAAGAATTGATTTCAAATTTCTTGTACTGACACATACAAAACTTATAAAATAAGTCACCTGTGGAAGCGGGTAGAGGAAATGGAGAAGAAATTGCTGAGGCTGGCTTTGAACTTGCAATCCTCCCATCTCAGCCTCCCAAACTACTGGGATTATGGGCATATGCCACTGCACCCAGCCAGGGCATAACTTTTTATACTTAAAGTTTTGATTTTTTTTTTTTTTTTATGTTTTGCAGTTCTGGAAATGGAACCCATGGCTTTGCATATTGTGGGCCAGTGCCCTATCACTGAGCTACAGCCGCAGTCCCACTTAAATACTTTTGAACTATATGAACATATTACCTTTTCAAAAAACTTTTTGGACTAAAATCTGAGCAGAAGCTAGGCCTGATGGTGTGTGCCTGTAATCCTCACTTGAAACCAAGAGTTTGAGATCAGCCTGAACAACATCATGAGTTCCCATCTAAAAAATTCCTGAACAGAATAAAATAAAACATGTCTATAAAGGGTTGGGGATAGGCATTCTAGGCTGCCATTAGCCAGGAGGTCTTCTCACTTCAAGATAGCTGAACAGTGGAGGATTATTTCTACTTAATTAAAAAATAAATAAAATAAAAGATCATTTGGGTTACAGCGGGAAAAGATGCACTACAGGATTGAAGAGACTTGAGTCCTGGTCCTGGTGTGGCTGGGTAACTTAGGTGGGTCCCTTCTCTCTGTGTCTTTTGTCAACTGAGGGAACAAGACTGCATGGTCTTTGAGACTCTACCTCCTCAAACTTGCTGGAATATGATGCTAATTTCTAATTTCTAATAGCAGAGGTTGCCACAGTGCATTATCTATAAAGGATCTGCTAGTGGCATTTTTATATATAAGCAAGAGGAAGGCAATGAATAACATGATTATATTTTCATCTGTTGTTTCCTTTGATAAGGAGTGAATACCTGGAGGTGACGAGTCAAATGAAGGGGTGTGCACTTCAGGAAGGGAGCTGATATTTCAGTAGCACCATCGGGGCATCTCAGTGCTGTTTGCTATTCGTAATTGGGTATCAGGTTAAGAATGCATCATCTATGTTAGAAATATGCAGCACTT